TGTAATGACTAAAGTACATTCTAAAGCTCATCCTGCCATATCTCAGAGCCACGATGGGAAAAGCGAGACTATCTGCTTTGGCACTACTTAGTATTGAGCATAAGGCAGACAACATTGCTAACTTTGATCATATTATTAACTTATTTGCTGATACAAAAGCACACAAAATCCAGTTGCAAGTTTAAACAATGTTAAAAATTCAGCAACTTACAAGACTCTATTAGGCCATATTAATTAAATTGTTTGTCTCAAAGCTCCCTTGTTGTAAAAAAACTTATGCGGAACGCAGTTTTTTTAAATTTTTTAAAATTTTGGATTTTTTTAAAGTACTGTATGCAGAGTAAATACAAATATTTACTGTTGATGTGACCATAGGTTGATTGCTTAACACATGTATAATGCTACACCGAATAAAAAACAAAGATAAACTGAATTACAATATTGTCTTTTTTATTTTCTATGTATGAAACCTTGAAAAACTTTGTACTATAGATACAACCACCACATGCATTAAAATCACAAAACATGCTTGATAATCAATGCCGAGCCAGCTAGTGGGACAGGTGGGGTAGTCCCACACTGTTTTTCTAATGCACCTTGTCCTACTTCTTCTAGTTTAAGCAATCTGTATTTTGTCAATTTATCTGACGGGAGACAAGGGTTTTTGCCTTGTAACAGATCATTTAAGACATCAAAGTGTGGTTAATATCAGCAAGGTGCAGAAACCAGCCGAATGAGGTTTGTTGGTATGAAACCTTAATTTTTAACATCTGAAACGCCATCCGGGAGTCGAAAATCGCGCTGTCTGCAAAAAAAGTTTCAATGTATTTCCGGCTGTTTATGGCATTGCTTGGTTATGGCCAAGTCGTCCTAGCGTGACAAACCAAGGCGAATCATCTTGTGGCGAAATTACTATGCTTTTTGTTCGGAAGTAAAAACAATAAGATTTGGCTTTGTGAATTAAGATCGCATATGGTGTAGCCTAGACCCCGTGGCTACAGTAGGCTTATTTTATTGATAATTTTCGAATCTAGGTATGTACTGTACCGCCGAGAACGTTGCGACACGCTGTTTCGTCGGGTTGTGATTGAGTTAGGGATCGCCTTCACGCATCAACTAACACTAAGTTACTACCACATCGTGCAGATGTGTGTGGGCCATAATAGAGTTAGGGATCGTCTTTCAAAGTCCGATATTTGGCAAAGAAAAAAAAATGTTTGTAGAGTTTAGGCGAGAACAATGCGGGAGCTTTGAGACGAACAATTTAATTAATATGGCCTTATAAGATAAATTTAGAGAATAAGAATAATGATTGTATGCGATATTACAACAGCCTTACAAATTGGGATAATGGTAAAATTGTATACGAACTTCCGAACATTGTAATGCAGTTTCAATAGTAAAAACAAGCATGGCGCCAGGGCCCTCTTCGGGAATAGCTGCGCCTC